GGGTTAGCCTGGTGGTGGGTATTGAGGAGGGCACATTCTGCATGGAGCACTGGGTGTTATGCACAAACAATGAATCATGGAACACTTCATCTAAAACTAATGATGTAATGTATGGGGATTAACATAAGAATAATAATAAAAAAAAAGATACATGCACCTCTCTGCTTGTTGCAGCATTATTTACAATAGCTAAGATATGGAAGCAGTCCAATTGTCCACTGACCATTGATAGATGAATGGATAAAGAAGATGTGGTATATACACACACACAATGGAATATTACTCAGCCTTAAAAAAAAGTATGAGATGAGCACTGGGTGTTATGTGTAACTGATGAATTGTTGAACACTACATCAAAAACTAATGATGTACTATACAGTGGCTAATTGAACATAATAAAAAAAAAGTATGAGATTTTTTATTTGCAACAATATGGATGGACCAGGATGGTATTATGCTAATTGAAAGAAGTCAGATAGAGACAAATCCCATATGATTTCATTTATATCTGGAATCTATAAGACAAAACAAATGAATAAACAAAAAGCAGAAATAGACCCCAGAGAACAAACTGATGATTTCCAGAAATGTGGGTGGATGGGGAAAATAGGTGAAGGGGAGTGAGAGACACAGGCTTCCAGCTATGGAATAAGTCACAGGGAGAAAAAGGTACAGCATAGAGAATATAATCAATGGGAGTGTAATAGTGTTGTATGGTGACAAATGGTAGCTACACTTGGGGTGAGTAGAGCACAATGTATAGAATTGTCAAATCAGTATGTTGTACACCTCAAACTAGTGTAACATTGTATATCAACTATACTTCAATTTTTTAAAAAAGAATTGCTCTTTACAGAAATGATATTGTTTATGAGACAGGATCCTCTTTCATTATTTGCTGAATTAACAGCAAATACATGAACATTTTTCTAGCCCATTTAATGCTCAGATTTTTATATGACATATATTTGGTATCTTCATTATTGATTGTCAGGAAAACTGCTTACTGGAATATTTAAAGAGATCAAACCTAATCCATTAGACGAGATGAGACATCTGGGCTGCTTGGTTGGAATTCAGGCTCTGCTCATGAAGGTTTTTTGGGGGTGGGGAGGAGTCAAGGCAGTTTATTGGCCCCTGAGCAACCCTCTGCCCATTAATTTTTTTTTATTATGTTATGTTAATCACCGTACATTACATCATTAGTTTTTGATGTAGTGTTCCATGATTCATTGTTTGCATATAACACCCAGTGCTCCATGAAATATGTGCCCTCCTTAATACCCATCACAGGGCTAACCCATCCCCCACCCTCTTCCCCTCTAAAACCCTCAGTTTGTTTCTCAGAGTCCATAGTCTCTCATGGTTCGTCTCCCCCTCCAATTTCCCCCCCTTCATTTTCCCCTTCCTACTATCTTCTTCCTTTTGCCCATTAAGTTTGAAACAACCTTTCCATGCTCAGTTTTCTCATCTGTAAAATGGGGATGCTTATAACAGTACTCATAGGAGTTCACGTATGTTTGTAAGGATGCCTGGAAGAGACAATCACTAAATAATTATAAAATTAGTGTTTATGCCCACTTCAATTGGGCTTCTGGTGGGTTTTAGGTGAAGCTGAATTTCAATAGAGACCATTAAAAAGCCTTTTCCTTAGGCATTGTCACCTGCACGTTGCCCCATGGGGCCTAACTGTTGCTCATAATCTTCTTCTGTTGTTGGCCTCGGGAACCCCATCACCTCCTCAGTGCCTTGTGCTCATCTCTATACTCTGTTAAGAATTCAAGTCCTATGGCGACGGCAGTTCCCATAAACAACCATACCAGGGAAGTTCTGGGTGGAATGAAGACAGGTAACAGGTGACCATAGCCAAGGTATGGTTACTGAGCACCAGCTATTTGCCTCCCAGTATGTCAGAAAAGACACTGTCTCCTCTGTGGGCTTTCCATCTTCTGACTTGGAGGAGGGGGCAATGCAGGGACAGGGGAAGGCAAATAACAGCTGTGGCCAGCTGGCAGGCTGCTAGAGGCCAGCATAGGTCATCTGGGCTTCCTGGAACAGCTGGTCATGCACAGGCCAGTCCTCCAGATTCCCTGAGGCGATCCCAGCCACTGGTGATACTTAAAAGGCAGGATTTGAGGGGACTGGGACAGATCTTGGAGGCTCTCTGCCGTACAAGGCACTGGCCCTACAGGGGCCAGAACTGGATGAAGTCTATGGAGGCCAAAGATGGGCATTGGGAAGGAGGAGGCTTGGGCAGTGAGTCTTTCAATATTCTCACAACTTATTCAACTAAATAAGGGGTGTGTTGGCTGAAGATCAGCCCTGGGCTTAAGAACACATCATTTGGGGGCACCTGGGTGGCTCTGTCGTTAAGCGTCTTCCTTTGGCTCTGGTCGTGATCCCAGAGTCCAGGGATCGAGCCCCGCATCGGGCTCCCTGCTCAGCGGGAAGCCTGCTTCTCCCTCTCCCACTCCCCCCCCGCCGCCTCTTGTGTTCCCTCTCTCGCTGTCTCTCTGTCAAATAAATAAATAAAGTCTTTAAAAAAAAAAAAGAACCCATAATTTGCTTGACTAGGTTACAACATCTTTCCACTATGTCTTTTTTCTACTTCGAAAAGTTATAAGTAAGTATGTTATAAGTTCAGGCCTACTAAGAGGATAGCTTTTTGTCCTTTCTCACTTGACAATGAGCTTTTTTTTTTAAGTCATACGTGGGGAAACAAGCAAACAAACTCCACTATATTTTTCTTTTTTCCTTTGCTTTAATGAAAAATATAGGTGGGAAAAGAATCTTAAGTGTATTTCATGGACATGAAAATTACCAGTGGTTACTGTCAAATAAATATATTAAAGATTTCTTTTCTTCTTTCTTAAGAGAGGGCAAAAGTCTATTAAACATTGGTTCCTCAGGCTCCCAGTCTCTCTGAGGATCCTGATTTGACCTATCCAACCAGACCCTTCCCTCCCCCACTTTAGGATTAGGGGTTTATTCTTTTGGGTTTTTGTTTCACAGGATGAGGAAAACTTGGGAGGGAGGGAAAGATGAGTGGGTCTAAACCTGAGGTTACAAACCAAATGTAGGGTCTAGCACCTGCAGTCATGAATGAAAGTGAGTAAGTGGTCTGAGAGTATTAACTAGCTTAGGTGGGGACTGTGTCCAAGTGCAGGGACCAAAGTCATGTCATCATTCACAGACCAGCCCTGGCCAATTGCTATCATGAATGCAGGCTCCGGGTTGCCAAATCGTTTAACTTTTGAAAGATCCAAATCTGAGAGAGTGTGTGTGTGTGAACTTTCTTGAGTTTGAAAACACTGTGCTGGCCAAACAAAGCACATCTGGAGGCCATAGGTCTATTACCTCAACCAGGCCTGAGGCAGGAGATTTTTAATGGTATTTGAAGGATTAGAAATGGGAACAGCTGTGGTATATTTGTGATAAAAGCCATGAAAAAAAAAATAGGGCTTTTTGGAGTGTGTGACGCTTCTTCAACATACTCAAGAAAACCTAGTAAAGGACAATGTTTTGAAACAATTTTGGGTTGCTGGACTGTGTACTTTTGACAAAGTTCTACAAGGGCCTTACTGTAAAAGAGGAGTATATTTTTTCCTCTACATAAGCTACATAGAGGGTTATTTTTATAATCCTACATTATATCTGAGTTACTTGTCTCTTCTCAAGGCAAGTAAAATCTTCTTTGCCTTGTTAATTAATAAAAAAAGAAAATGAAGACTTTCTTGTGATTCATGCCACCAAATAAATGTCTAAATCCCATGTAGTTTTGAGACTTCCTTGAAGGGTAACATGGATACGAATTAAAAAAAAACTATTAAAGGGAAAGTCTAATTATGTTGCTATCTGGTACCAAATCCACATTATTAGCAAAGGAAAACGGAATGCAAGATGATGACTCCATTGGTAGAAGTAGGTTTCAGCCAAGTTAGAATGGTAGGTCTGGCAAACCTCCAACACAAAGACATTTCTTCCAACAGTCACAAGTTTCTACCACTTGATACCTAGACTCTTTGACATCAGACTTCGTGATATTACCTCCTGTAGTCTTAGAAATGATTCTTACCTATTAGCAGGCTGCTGTGGATCTCTTTCTCCTTGGATTAGATGAGCTGAATGCTTCTAAGACTTTAATGAGCAGATGATTCTTCTAGGGGAGTGCTGTAAGTTGGCCAGGGGTGGAGCATGGGAATTTTTATGTCTGACAAGGTCCCAGGTAAAGCCTGAACACAACTTGAGTAGCAAGGAGCTAAAGGACTGAATAAAGATAGAGAATAGGGTGTGTGGACCTATAGGATGTCTGCTTTATGACCTGCACGGAATCAGTTCCCCTCTCTTCTGGCAGTAGCAGCCTGACTTTACTTAGGAGGGAACATTTACTTAGAAGGGAACATTTCCTCTTCATGATTAGTTTATGTAGTTCAGAAGAGGCCCCTTCTCCCTTTACTTTCCTCCTACCCCAACCACCTGTGATAGAGAAAAGACTGTGATCCGACCATGGGTAAACAGCAGAAGTGAGCAGGTGACCCAAGGTTCAGTGATTTTCAGACCCGAGATCTTGGCTAGTGCTAGTGGGAAAGAGGCTTTCTTTGGTGGGTTGTGAAACCTGGAGCTCCCAGTGACTATCATGAAAGGGGTGCTTGCCTTTAGAATAAAACTAACACAGAAGAACCAGGGCTAAGATTTGGAAAAAGATTCTTAACATCTTTTGAATGCCTGGATCCATCCATGCCTGAGGTCTGCCTTGTTGGTTACTTGAGCCAATAAGTTTGCCTTTATGATTAAGCCAATTTGATTTCAGTTTCTGTCACTTGCAACAGATAGCATCCTGCTAAATACAGTAGTAGATAAAGGCTGACACACGGTGGGGAGATAACTGTAGCGTTCTCATCATAATTTTTCCTTGGTTGGACTGAGCAATGTGTGTGTGTGTATATGTGTAGTATTTTTTTTTTCCCAGAGAAGAAACAATCTGAAACTATAAGTTAGGTGACAAGCAATTTTATTTTGCAAAACAATCACTATACAGCAACAAATACATTTGCAAATTTTGATTGAAAAACATGAACTAACTACAACCAGCCATTGAAGAAATGCCTTTCTATGGTAACAGGCTCTAGAATTATCAGAAGAAAGAAACCCCCCAGAGATTTGTAGCGGCATGTTGGAACCTTGGAATCCCAGCATACAGAGTATACTTTTTGTTGATTTTTTTTTCTTTTTGCTAAAGTTGAAGTAGATTTTCATGATTGACATTTTGTGAGTTTAAAAATAAGCTCTTTCCTGCAGAGGGACTTGGCCTCAACCTACACACCCAGGCTAAAAATCCTAGGTGTAAAAAAACAAACATCAGTGCTGATTTTAACACATCAGTTTTGGAAGGAATGCCTAGACTTTGCCTTTCCAAGCCACGATTCTATTTTTTTTTTCTTGGCTACTTAGACCATGAATAGTTTATTTTCCTCATTTTTGTGGCATGAAAAATCGGACAAAAAGTGTAATTGTAGCAAGGTCAGAATCAACCGCTTTGAGATGATTTCTTTAACAATATTGACATGGATGTTATATTTTGGCTGATGATCCTCTTTCCTGCTGTATTACTGTATGAATGTGTGGAGGTCGGCTATCATCAGCAGATTCTTCCATTTAATGAAGTTCTCTCTTCAGCCTTCTTCAGCCATACCGAGTTGGTGTTACACAGGTGTCCTGCTTGGGGCTGGGATTTCAGCCTATCACCCTGCTGGAACTCAGCAGGAGAATCCAGAGAGAGTTGGTTCCTAAATGAACAGGGCCTTTGAAACTCATCATCAACTCGGATCTTTCCTGCATCATTATAAAGTACCCAATTATCGGCTGCAGGTGACCCGGAGAGAGCGAGTTCATTGAAGAAGCTGGCCTTTTAACTCTTCACAGCTCTGGATTACTTATGTATCCTTAAACAGGTTCTCAAAGGCTAAAGCCGGAGAGAAACTGGCAGTAATAGATCTAGAATTGGAACTATGAAGCTTTAATTTCTAGATCAGCGTATGGGTACCCCCACAAGAGTGGTGTTCAAAAAGCTTAATTTGCGTCGTTAATCTTGAGAGTGAAGGCAAGATAGGTTCCAACCCCTGTCCCCATAAGAAGACATTTAGCCTGTGTGTTTCTCTCTTCTATTGGTACAAATTATCAGTTTCTTTTTGTTAACATTATAAAGAATCATATTTCCATACAAAGGAAGGGCATTTATTCATTATAATTTTGCTGAGATTTGAAATAAACATTTGTTTTAATGCCAAATCTAGTATCTTAGGGCTTTATATAATCTTTATCTTGGGCATGCATTTGTAAGAAACAGAATTTTAATATGTAAAGCATAATTACTTATTCTTACCTTTTATAAAAAATGTAAACCAAGTTGGTAGAAAATACTTATTTTGTAGGTTAAAACTGTTCTAACCTGCTGTTAACTCCTTCTTTCTAAAGAACTTTAATCACTACCTAACACTATTAAACATGTAGGAAAATACCATAGGTCTCCACACAACTACTCTTCTCCAATTTTCTAGTGCATTTCAAGGGAAGCTGAGGAATAAAATGCTCAGATAGGTCAAATCCACATCATTATTAGGCAGAAAATAGACCCATCCATAGTCATACTCCATAGTTTCTAATTTTTTGACTGTTGTATAAAAGAATTGATTTATTAACATTTTCAGACACGTTTGCTTATGCAAAACCTATTAGTTGAGAATGAGTGCTATGTTTTTGCTCCTACAGTTTTTTTTTTTTTTTGGTGGAAGTCACATTGGTTGCAGTATTCAGGGGGTCACAAATGGCACCTGTGTCTCTCTGTCTTTGCATCCCTTGGCTGCTTTCCTAGATGCTACTGTACTTCCTCGTTGCCTCATCCATGCTCATCACTTCCTCCTATATAGTCAGGAATTGATTCGGCTCACGGGGATCAGACACCTATCAGACTATTTGCTTTTAATGGTTCAGAACCAACCTACCAGCCCTGAGCAAGAAAAAGAACAGATAAAATACTAAAAATATCCACCCAGACTGGTAACTGACTGCTTATTCAGGCCATTGACTATTTAATTGCTTTTCACCAGTCTAAGATGAATGATTTGTGAGAGGAATTAATTGGTGATTTCCCAGGCTGTAGATTAAGTCACACCAGTATTATCTGTTGATAAGTAATACTAAGTCATAAAGTGTTCCTTCACAGAGGGCAATGTTAGAATCCTGAAAAAACTGATTTAGATATCTGTATCTCAAGTGTTGTGTAGCTATAGGTTCTCGAATAACTGTACTTGTCCTTTTTGATCAAGGCTCTTTACTTTGGGTAAGGAAGCCAAATATTTTCTCTCAGATAATTTAATTAGCAGGCAATGTCTGGAAGAGTGGGACAACATGTCCCAAACTCCCTCTGTTAGTTTCAACTTTAGCAAAGGGAAAAAAAAAAAAAAGAAATCTTCAGAAGTCTGTTTCTTGAATGATTACAGGAATAAAACCCAAACTATTCCATAATTCAAAATGAGATAAATCCAAAATCTTACTTAAACCAACAATCTGTAAACCCTTTTAATGTATAACTGGACCCACCCCCACAAACTCCATGTTGGTGAAAGCAAAGAAAAATAAATTTTCCTACCATCACGGGAGAGACTTGTTTCTGGCACTAAAACAGGGTTACAGCTCTGAGTTGTTACAGGAAGCAACTTCATGCTAAAACTTTTTGTTCTTTTTTAATGTATTTTTTTTAAATAGGGAAAGAACCCTGCTAACATCTACTTTCACATACCTAAAATTGCAACACCAAAGGGTGCAGGAGACACAGATACTGTGAATAAGGAAGTATAATATTCAAGTATATGAGGAAGTATCACAAATGGCCACAGAGAAATATATATATATTTATATCTATAACACTGTATCAAACAGATGGAAAGGGAGTGTGAAGCTGGTAGTGTGGACACAAATCTAGCTGATCAACTGACATTCTAATCAGACACGAGTCCATCCTAATGAAAGTGCTTCATTCCTAAGAGATGCACTTTTATATCGCTTCCTCAACCACAGCTCAAATGCTTCGTAACTATTTTTAATTAGTTAAATAATTTATTGGATTGACTTATACTCTGATATAATTATCCAGGTCCCAAATGTTAATAACTTAACTGAATCTTTCTTCCCATTTATACAAAATAACACTTAAAAAAAAAACCGTATTTCTTACATGCTCTTTCCTTCCTGCAATCAGACTCCTTGATTTAATTTAACCTGTAATAAGTTAAAATGGGCAGCTTTTATCTTTTCACCCAGCAACAGAAGAGTGGAATGAGCAGCTTGGATTTCAACAAGGCCTTTCAGAATGTATGGATAGCCTTCAGGCACATGAAAGGTAAAAATGCAATATTTGAAATAATAATACTCCATGCAAAACAGCAGAGCAAAAATAATTGTCCAATTGTACTCATGTAAAGCCAGTGTCTTCCTGCTGAAAATGGAAACCAAGTCAATTTCTGCATATACTATTCATTGTTTTTTATAAAATTGTAACAATTACTACAGTTTGGGAATGAGATTATTTATTTTACGGTTTGTAAAGAATGACTATAACACCTGCTCAGAGCCCACTCCTGCCAAGAGCTCATGCCTAAATATTATTACTTCAATGCTAAATGAGAAATATTCACAAGCCCTGCTTAGCGAGTGCAGCAGTGACATCCTCGGCCAAAGTGGCAAGCTGAGGGGATTCGAGCAGGTTGATGCTTCCAGAAGAGGAGACATTGCTGAGTCGTCGGGGGGACGCCACGCTGGATCTGCCTGGGGATTGCGTAATGATCTCAGCTCCGTGGTCCACACGGGCCTTTGCATGCTCTCTGAAGTTCAACTTCTGGCTGTCGATCTGTTCAAGACAAGCATCAGTCCTTGTTAACTCAAGCATCTTAACTGGCCCCTAGACTTTTCACTATGTCTCAGAGCTGATGTTAATGTCACTTTTGTTCAGCTCTGCGATTCCTACTCCCTACATGTCCAGGCCTTTGATCGTAACCCATTTTGATGAGAAGTATTTCAGAAGGATTAGAAAGCAGACGACAGGGTCGGCTTACAACCTTGGTTCTTACCTTGACGTTACCACCTCCAGGTACGTGGTGAGCATTGTCAAGTGAGCCGACTTTAGCTTGGGCCTTTTCTTTGAAATCCAGTTTTACACTCTCAATTTTCACACGGCCACCGCCTGTGAGAGAAGAAAGGCTTTTAAATGCCTTGCTACAGTGACATATTCTACTTGGGGTGACTATTTCCCAGAAATGATTATAGTAAATAGATCATCATAAAGCACAGACTTAATTTACTATCCTTTCAACCATGGATGTGAAAGGAATTTTTTAGTCTGTATCATTTTTCCCATATCACCCAAGGTAATGATATCCTTTTTGTACCATTGTATGGCTTGACCTACGTATTAATATCTTTTTCTTCTAAGCCAAACTGAAGCCTGATTGCCAGATAAGTTTCCAATGCACTTATCTATTTTGAAACTGATCGTATCCACCTTTGCTTTTTGACTAATAAATTCTTCTTCATAATCTACCCATGTCTAAGAGAAAATATCAGAGGGGCTTTTCTTATCTGTATAATAAAAATTCTAAAAAGAACACAGTGAAAATATCCTATTTCCTCCTTTCTAAAACTTGGAACATTTAATCTCTTACTCTTTTTTTTTTTTAAAGATTTTATTTATTTGACAGAGAGAGACACAGCGAGAGAGGGAACACAAGCAGGGGGAGTGGGAGAGGGAGAAGCAGGCTTCCCGCGGAGCAGGGAGCCCGATGCGGGGCTCGATCCCAGGACCCTGGGATCATGACCTGAGCCGAAGGCAGATGCTTAACGACTGAGCCACCCAGGCGCCCCTAATCTCTTACTCTTAAGGGAGCAAATTAACTTGAAATGAAGATCTTTATTCTTCTTCATGGTAATAGGTCACTCTTCCAAAAAAACAAAAAACAACCCCCCCCCCAAAAAAACTATTAGGTTAGAAATGGTACACATATGGGTAATATATTCATTTGTAAATTTTCAACATTGATGGCTTGACTGATGAAATTGGAGTTGGAAGCTAAGTTGTTTATAACCAGTGAGCTTTGAGAATTTACCATTATCACTAGCAAATGGAGCAACAGGAAGAGAACCTTAGGAAATCCCACTCTTGTACAGTTGGCATAGGACCAATCTGACACTGACTTTGATCTGATAATGTGGTGACAGTTTTGACCATGGCATCTTCCTAAATGCTAATTAGTCTGAAATATGAGGATCTGCTGATAGATGAGAGTGCAGAGTGGTGCCCCTAAATCTGTATGCCTTTCCCAGCTTGTAAATGCAGGGAGTTCAATTCCGGTAGGTACCCATTGTCCATTAGCCTGTCCCTGAGCACCTTTTGAGGGTCTGCTGATGTCTTTGACTTGAAAAGAAGCTGAATTAGACCCCTTTACCTCTCCACCTGAGATTAGCTTTCACTTTGATTAGCAATTTGGTTTTGGCTGTGTGCATTTCTTTGGAAGGCCAGTGGTAAATGACTTGACCACCTATGATTATTACTGCTTCTCTTGTGGGATTTTGACTTGGGAGAAACATGGGGAAGATTTTTTAATTTTGGACTCTCGATGCTTATTTATCTCTATAGCCCAAAAGAAAGGTCTGTTAAGTCTTCACAGACTTAGACCTTATGGTATTTTTCTCATATGATACCTAGACATTTATATCGACACCCAACTACCTGGCTAGGGGCCCCTTGAAATTATATGGTGTTATTAGATTACATTTTGAAGATATATGCATTCATTCTTCTCCTGAAGCTTTAGGATGTGCACACTGTTATTTAACTTGTGTTTATAGGAGACATGTACTTGTCCCTCCCTCAAAAAATTATTGCAGGAAGAGTTATTCTTCCAACATTTCACCTAGCCATATGGGTCTCTCGTCTTAGTTGTGATGGGATTAAGGTGATTCATAAAACATACTTATCTTGGTTAGAGGCTGGAGGATGTTGAGTTTCAACCTGATGAGATCGACTTTCTTGGGGTCTTTTCCATTTTTTTGGTAGCCTCTAATAGAAATGACCTTTGCAAGCTTTCTTTTATGATTATATGTTGGACAGAGTTATAAACCTGTTAAAATTTTTACTGAACTCTATTTTGAGGGAGAGAAAAAAAAATGTAATGTTGACCCAAAATATATTCAGAAAAGGAAGCTTGAGAAGTCTGTTTTTGTTGAAATCCTACTAGAAATTTTTATGTAACTGTTAGAGAAGCCCATTTGAATTCACAGATCTATGCCTTTGGCTCTGAAGAATTCTGGCATCTACCAGGAGTAATTGTGAAGGACTATAATCTTCATCAAGCTCCATATGTCCTAAAGTTGGGCTTCCATGTGTTGAACTGTTTCCTTTATTTTCTCCTTAGATATTCCACATTCCAAAGTAACTTTGTGAAAAGCTTGCCATTGTCAAAGATCATTGTGTTAACACTTTTTTATGAATTTAGTTATCTGATTCAGTTCTTATAAAAGAAAGATCTAGATTTAGAAATAGGTGGGAGTCCATGACAATAGTCTTTTATGACCAATAAATCTTACATAGACTACTTCTTTAGCTATGTCACATTTTCCTGTACATCAAGAGTCCAGTTGAATTTGGCTAATGGAATACTTACTGTCTAAATTAAAGAATCTAATATTTTCTTTTGCATTTTAGAAGAAAATAGGCAGTATGGCCAAATACTTCAGTCCTACGGTTGACACAGCAGTACAGAGTCAACTAAGTGTTTGTAAGCTTGAGTTATAGACAGTAGAATTGTGAAGATATGCAGTGTGAGACTGTGTCCCTGCCGCCTCAGGAATGACAGAGAAGCTAATTCCAAGGAAGCGGTTCTGAAATTCGTACTGGAGATTGTTGGGGAACATCTACAAAAAGATGTGACACTGATTGACCTGAAAGCTGGACCTGGGCACTCGGAGGCTTCTCATTTCCTCCCCTGCTTGCCTTTCCTGCTCCCAGAGGCTGCTCCGAGGACAGAGCCTTGAGATAATGATGTGGTGTTGAGAACACCAACACAGTATGCATGACTAAACCCAGTTAAGGCTTCTTTATAAACTTTCAAGATTTGGTGGGCGGGTGTGAGGATCCATCTTGCTGCTACCCAAGAGAAGCCTCATATGTAAGTTCCCTTTACTTATTAAAACCGCCACCTACTAATCTGGAGTGGCCTACCTCTTTCTTCGGTTTCTCCCTGTCTTCTGAGTACAGGGGCCAGTGTCAGATTACACCAGGGAAGCTCCCAAGAGGGTTGTGAACCAGTAGAGATTCTGTATATGTATTATCTAACTCCTTGACTTGCTTTATGAACACTCTTTGTCAAAGTGAAGCCTGACTTCTAGACATGTTTCCAGTGCATTTATCCATTTTGAAACTTATCCTACCTACCTTTATTTTTCAACTAATAAATTCTTCTTAATAATCTTTTCTTGGTCAGAAATCTTTTTGGGCTTGATTGTTCTTATACTTTGTTTCTGATAACATTTGAGACAGTGTAATAGGTTATTCCCATTAATAATGGGGATATAATGGGAATAATGGGAATAACCTATTACATGGTTTAATTAAGATATCAAGCACACCAAAGGCTTCCTCTTGTCCATCCATAATTCAATGGTATATATTGTGTCAAAATATTCTCAAGAAAATGACAAATTTGACAGTTGCCCATTATTTACATATGCATGGAGGTACAAGTTAGCAAAAATATATAATAATGATACTCAGAAAAAATGACTTATGTTAGATCTACACTTTAAAGAGGAAAAAATCCCCAACGGGTATGAATGTAAATTGTACTTTAGATCACTAGTCCTATAGAAAAACAAGAGGCTAATGGTTAAATAAGTTGGGACAAGCACTGCGTCAAGAGATGGGTCAATTAAGCACTGCATTCTGCTAAGGATTCATAATGCTTATTGACCTACTATAGGATCTGAGAAATTTAGCAGATAAATACTTTCATCAGCTTTGCTTAAACACAATCCTTTCTTCACATATGAAGACAAAATACTTCCATGAAAAATCTTTGGAAATGCTGCTTTCAATCCATGTAATTATGTATGAATACATGGCCCAAGGTATTTTATAGACCATATATTTCAAAAGAGCTCCAACAAGCATGTTGAGTATATAGAGATAAGTGCATCTTATATACCTTTTAATTTTGAACATGTCCTATGATATGTGGCCTCCTTGTGATAATTGAGTTTACTTGCCCAAATGAAGATGCCTTAAAGTTTCTAACTTAAGTTTCTATTAATAAAAGCATGAGTTTTCAGGATTTTGAGACGTTTTTCCAATTAGGTATTTCACAACAAAAATTTTGCTTGTTGATTTGAGCAATTTAATATTTCCCAAACTACCAAGAAGTATTTATTTACCTGGCCTGTGGCGGATGTTCTTCAGAGAGCCACATTTGGATGTCACATGGCTTAGGTCTATCTTCTTGGTAACAATCTGTACCTGTATGAACCATATAAAATACACTTAAAATGGTCGAGACATGGGCAAGCCCCCAAGCTCGTACATAAAATCCAGAAACATACCCAAGCTAACAACATACAACAACACAGAAACCCAAACTGAAGTACATACACACACATAGGAAAACATAACCTCCCAGTGTACTACCACATTTGGTTGGAAAGAAGGACCAAAATGAAAGAAAATCCTAGAATAGAAGATTTTATTAGTAGAAAACAGATCATGCCACAAGAGGATAGAAACACCCGGATTAATAAGGCAAGCTTCCACTCAGAGAACAAAGCCACACCATGTTAAACCTTTCCATTAGCAAAGAACCAAGTTGAGATGAATTATTTTTTTAAAAATGATTTTTACATAAAAGTGACCAACATTGCTCATAGTTACAAGAGGACCAACATTGCTTTAAGATATAAGAAGAAGAAGGATCAAAGCTTTTCTAAAATATTATTGTCATGTCTTGGCTAAATGGAATTTTTCTTTTCCACCAAATTATAAAATGGTAGTAACATTTTTTTCTTGCGTTTTATTGAAGTTATCTCCTCTCCCCATGTTAGAAACAGTGTTTTTCCAATTGTGGTGCACTGTCCATTGGCATCAGAAGTACAAGGGTATTACCGAATTGGAAATGGGGCCACAGAATCTGCATATTTGAACAAGTGATTCTTCTCTAGAGGAAAGTTTAAGAGTATTGTTTTGGAGGTTGGAAGCTCCCCTACTTACTTTAAGATTGTTAGTTATCTCAATTTATCCTTTGCCACCTAGCCTTTTAGGCCAGCAGGGTCTGCCGGAGAGGATAGGGGTCACCCTTTGACACCTCCAGGTATTTCCCAGGACTGAGACTGCTTTTGTGAGAGTACCACACGGTTTGCACTTACAGTCAGGACACAGGGAGGAGCTCCACCATGTCAATGTAAATACTGATCCTGAGGCTTAGCTCAGCACTCTTAAGGAGCCTAGCAAACCTTGCTATGGACTTCCTACGATAGTGACATTTTCATGCTCAGTGGAACTACTTCGAGCAACAGGTGACAGTTCCTGGTAGAAGGCACTGGCTTGTCTCCCCTTTCACTGCTTGACTCCATCTCTGCCCAGCTGAGGAGCAAGGAGCCAAGAGTTATTAAACAGGCGAGAATTCCGGACTTGACACTCTGTAAACTGAGTCACAGATGGCCAGAACCTGAAGTTTAGGTGACAAGGATCCATAGAATAGAGAATCAGCATGGGTCACCTTTATTATTCTTATTTTGTGAAGAACCATGCTTCCTTTACCTTGAGTTTGCCTGTTTCAGCTCTGCCTCAACTCTGAGAAACATGGATTCATCTTTTCCTTCCTCTCAAAAGATACCATTTCCACTCAATTCAAGACACACACAAAAAAAATCCCATCAAGACAAAGTTTATACGGGGACTTGAATCCTTTCACTTTGAATGACAGATGAACTGTGCTTCACTAGTTTTGCATTATTCCAAATGAAATCCTAACTCTCATGAATAGTGATGCACAAAAGACTGACATTACACACTTTGGGTACTTTCAAGTGTATCAGTCTTTTCCTCAAGAGTAATTGAAATGGAGCTATAAGAGTGTGTGCCCAGCTGACGTTTGTAGGGGAGTAGAGACAGCATGAGGAGATACCTTGAAGCCAAAGGCCAGCAAACAAAATTGGCAAGTGAGGTGGGTTTGCCATCCCCCTGAAAGACATGATGCAGCCCAGTAAGGTTTTATTCCTCAACTGAAAGCAAGAAACTTGCTGATAAGTCTTTCAGGGAAGGATGGGAAGCCCACCAGCAAAAATGCAAGGGTGACAAGCTCCCAGACCAGGGGACATGTGGAGCAGCAACAAGTAGGGGGGGTGTATTGGGAGAGAGGCAGTTAAAGAGACAGGGGGCTGGCTGTGCAGATGGCTCCACACAATCAAGGACAGCTTTCTAATAGAAGCTTCTACTTACATTTCCGCCCCCAGCAGAATGTTTGATGTTATCCTTGGAACCACATCGGGACTGAACCTTGCTAAAATCGATCTTCTTGTTTAAAATCCTAACCTAAAAGGAATTGGAGGTAACTTCACTGTGCATTTTTCTTTCAGTATGCTGGGCATAGGGAGCCAGAATGGGTTGGTGCCAAGGAGGGTCCAAAATTCCTTCCACCTACATAATCATTTAAGAGAAAAAAACTAACACTGGAATTGAAGAACAGATCTATCATTTAATATGAGCCCTAGTCCCCTGAATCCCCAAGGGCCAAATGCTCAAGAGCTTTAGATATCTAAGTTTTAGGCAGGTGTAACCTGGAAACAATTAGAAGAAAAGAAAAATAAAAGTTGGATTATCTGTGACTGGGAGGCTTCCAATATTGTGGGCAACACTGGGACTCAGTTTCCACTCTATAAAAGGTCCAATAGTGTAGCTCAGTATAGTTCTTGCCCTACTCCCGTTCAATCCTACAGTGTCAGCCATCACAATTCTAAATCACCTGGTACACTTGATTGTATTATTGGTCCACCTGGCACAGGTGAGGTTCATGATTGGATGGGCTGAATGCCACAGATGAGGGTTCTCATTCATCCAGCAGAACCCCTGCTTTCCCAAGAGGGTCAACAAGGGGGCTCAGGGCCTCCTCTGCTGAAAGGGCTTCACTATTGCCTTGCAGATTTGGCTCAGTGGTCTTCTGAAAGTCTTCTCGCTGACAGCCGCTCATAAATAGCCATAACCCTTGGATGGTTGGTGCAGAAGCATCCTTTCCATTATTTTAGAGGGGAGCAAGTCAAGGGCCACTAGTTAACTGACTTATAGTAGGTCATGTAGAAGTAGTCCAGGTCTCAGCTAGGTCCAAAAGATTTGAGGTTAGGTGTTTTATTTCTATTTTCAGAAAGTTCAGTATTCATCTTGAAGACAATAGCAAATCTAAATCTGGACAGATATTATTCTGGTGTAATGTAATGTGCAAAGTAATAGCTCTTGTGACGATTTCTATGTGTCTTAAATTTTGCATGTTTTGGAGAGCACATGAACAATGTAAGCATGGAAAGAAAGGTTTATTTTTGTTGTTTGTTTGTTTGATTTTACTTTGGCTACTTCTACTCCTCTCCCCATGTCCCCTTAATAGCTAAAGAGAAATTATGTTTTCAATGCTTTAGGGGAAAGTTTGTCCTCTTATTTTTTTTTTAAGATTTTATTTATTTATTTGACAGAGAGAGACACAGCAAGAGAGAGAACAGAAGCAGGGAGAGTGGGAGAGGAAGAAGCAGGCCTCACGCTGAGCAGGGAGCCCAATGCGGGGCTCGATCCTAGGACCCTGGATCATGACCTGAGTTGAAAGCAGACGCTTAACGACTGAGCCACGCAGGTGCCCCAAGTTTGTCCTCTTATAAAAAATGCTAAATAAATACATCCTAGATATACAGCCATCTCCAAGAGTGGTATCACGTCTTTTGGTGTTTGCAAAAAAGAGTAAAAACTTCAAGATGACATTGACTCCAGACTATTTTTAACCAGACAAAGCTTAAATCGCAATGCCTGTCTGACACTGACAAGAGAGCTTGTCCCTTACAGGGAAATGTCATTGACAGCTCTCATCGGCAGCCCAAGGGAAGGGCTTCTTGTCAAAATCTGAAGTCAGAAAACATGATGATTGGGTCACTCTTTAGGGCATGATAAAAATCCCAATTTAAAAAGAAGGGGGGAATATCACAGAGTCTGTATCTAACAATAAATGTAGTGGCAGGCTAAGAATTTCACATAAAATGTAGATGCCAATAACTTTAAGTCAACAAGGGCCATTACATTTCAAGCCTCATAGATAAATTATTTTTAGAAAGCAAATAATTTTATTATTTCAAATAATAATACTTTTAATTATCCTCCATGAGTCTCTATTTTGGCAATGAAATAGAATTCATCTAAGCCATTTTTCCTAATCCTTGGGGACATATAGGGTCTCATATTTCATTTGCAAATTTTAATTTAGAGATCATTAGAGTACAAATCAAGTGACTCATTACCCAGTGATCAAAAGCTAAATGTTAAATCTGATTCACTTGTTGCAAAAATGGAAATTCCAAATTCAGTTGCATGAATCTGTTTGACTCTAACATTTAATCAACTGGCAATTTTTATGATTTTTAAAACAAATGATTCAAACCCCAAGGGGGCACATTGCCAGCATTACTTAGAGACAATTTAAATTTTAAAATCCTAAAACTTAAAGGCTGCCTTCTGTTGATTTCCCCCAGATTTTCTAAAGAATCATAGATTTTCTAGTGAAACAATTAGCTGGCCTTTTTCGATGGGAGACTTTCAATGTCTGTTCAATTCATAACGTGAAGCAGACCTTTGACATGGATTAATGGCATGTTCTTTACATATTTCCATATTTGCAATAGCTTCAGAGTATATTGCTTTTGTTTCAAATAAGGTAGAGGATGACATTCACCATTTTGCTTGATGGCCAAATAGACAGAAATAGAAATCACTCTGGGCACTGGATGCTTGATGCTCAGTAAGATTTATGCTCTAGCCTGACAACTTGCACCTAAGCACCCACCTAGTCCGTGTGATGCACATTTATGCTTTAACAAAATTACAAAATACTTCATGCCAAAGATCTCTGGGATCATTTACCAATAGTTAACACTTTAGAGAGTTAATTCTACAAATACCAGCAGTCCTCAGAAACCACTGCATAAGATAGAAAATTAGATGGCTGCTGTGAAGGATAAAACTTTATTCCAGATTATTATTATTATTTTTTTAAGTCAGAGAGTCAAGTTTTAACTTGACTTTTTGGGGGAAGGAATTTCCATTGAGCTTTTGTTTTCCTGTATGTCAAGGGAAAATTATTTTAACATCTCAGAGATGGTCTAGAAAAAAAATATAACAAACCTTTATTTGATGAACTAATTTTCTATATTCACGATATGGAGGAAAAAATATTTGAATAATCATTATCCAAGGTTAACTCTAAACTACATTCTACCCTTGTCAATGTCTTTCAATCAAAATTTTTAGTTGCACTATTAATGTAAAATGGGGTGATTTGAAAGTGTGTGACAATCTTTCCTTCTGTATACTTCACAGTGGAAGGAAAAAATATATTATTTCAATCAAGTGAATCATCTTTCTAAAGCTCTGCCTTGTTCAAAATTCTCCCAAAGTCTCTATTTCCTATTAAACACATCAAAACTTCTTGGGTAGGCAACCGGGGTTCTCAGAAATTCTGATTTTTGAGCCCTCTTCTCAAAACTTTACATTTTGGCCAGACTTTACATTCCATACTTTAAGGCCCTTGTTTACATTTTCAAGTTTGTTCCCATGCTTTCTTTATGTTATTATCTCTTGCTAGAATGCCCTCATTCCAAGTTGAGTCTGGAACTCATCATTCTTCAAGGATCAACCCAATCAGTTCCTCCCGTGGGAGGCTGGCAAAAAAGGATTTCAGTTTCACGGACAAAGGTTGGTGACTTGCTTGCATTCATAGTTGGCTTTTCGTTCACATAAGAGTCATATAAGCTTAAAGAGTTAAAAAGAATAGGTTAATGTAATTGAATAATTAATCAGAATTATTTTGTTTTACTTTTTACTAATTCTATCTTCCTCCACCATGTGAGGGAAGTACAGTGTAGTGACTTTCTGGGTATTTCTGGTGTGACTCTAGTTGGTTTTACAATGATGGTTCAGTTGAAATGATAGGCCACTACACTCTCTGCATGTAAGTTTAAATGCACCTTTAGAAAAATACACTTCTACTTTCCCGAAGCAAGGTTACTCTAAGAAAGGACAGGAAGACAAATGTAGGATATGTCTACAGGCAAGAACAAATCTCTCTTTCTAGAGATTAGTTGGAAATATGAAAAATGTAAAATGAAAGAAAATGCAATCCTAATTTATAACTTTTAGTAAAACAATTTATAAACCAGAGGCATTATTCACAGTGTCCGCTTGCATTTCTTAAGCAATGGGATTTTGATTTTTTTTTTTTGATTTGACACTCTCTGATGCTGCTTTCTTTATCAAAAGACCCACAGGTCAGCTCAAGAGAGCAAGATATGGAGAGTAACTGGGGGTCCAGAAGTTTGGATTCTGTTCTTGGCTCTCCTACAAGACAGTGCTAGGCTCTACAGGCATCCTCTAGGTCTGAACCTCAATTGCTCTATCATTTCTTTCTTCTTCATCCGATGTTTTAGAAAGAATGCTTTTGTTTTCTTTTGAAAGGGAAGTAGTAGCCAGTAACCCTTCAACTTTATCAGAGATTAAGTTTTTCCTTTGGCTTTACATCATTTTTCAGGAGTGCTTAAAATGCAGGCTTTTTTTTTTTTAAGGTTTTTTTTTTTTATTATGTTAGTCACCGTACAGTACATCATTAGTTTTTGATGTAGTCTTCCATGATTCAAAATGAAGCCTTTCTTTGTCCTTGCATTATAAAAACACTTCTCTCTCTCTCTGAAAAGTATTTCCCATTCCATAGCATTCAGTTTTAATGAAAACTATTTATCTATCCTATATAGAGTCCTGAGATATCATATATTAAAAAAAAATATATGACCGCATCAGATATTTCTGAAGAATGAAAGTTCTTTGGAATAGATGATGTTTTTCAAAGATTCATCTGTTAGCAGCCCTGTGCTCAGATTAAAATGCATACGAACTTTATAGTCTATTCCAAATTTTAAATAACCCTGCCTATACTGACCAATAACTTCTTCAAAAATCAATGGATCAAATACAAGCAATAAATATATTGGGGTACACATTTAAATAGAAATAACAGTTCATGTCAAAACATACAATTCCACAGAGCTGTGAAGGAAAGGGATGAGTTGGAGGGTCCATGAAGGGGTCAGACAAATTTTTATGCAGGCTATACCACACAGAAAAGAGAACAACATTAAAAACCTAAATCATGCTGAAAATTTTGTAAAGAACTGCTTGGTGGAACAGACATGAGTTTAGACATTGGCCTCATTGTTAAAAATTGGCATTACATTTTTTTTCTTCAGCTTAAATTTCTAAGAAATTTTAAAGAATAGAGGGCCAAGCATAAAGGC